TAAGAACAGACCGCCTTAGTAAGTTCGTTACTCACAGTTACAATAGGGCTTAATTTGTTTTTGCTTATGCCAAGTGTATTGTGTTCTGTGTAGAATTGAATGAATTTTATTGTCTCCCTTGTAATTTAGTGTTTAACACTACCAAAGGGTTAAATAAACTGATTATTTATTTATTTATTTATTTATTTATTGTTTGGGAATCACATGGTCTTCATGTTGAACGGAGGGGGAGGTCATTGGCAGTCGTCGCCAGCAGAGTATAAAGGCGGGAATAGAAAATTGACTTACGATTAAATGCCAATGACGGGGGTGGGGGAGCGGGGTCGTAAGAATATTATAGGGCCTTATGGGGGGGATCTGTGAACGGAGGGGCAGGTCAGTTGTGGTCGTCAACAGAGTAAAAAGGGGGGCTATTGGAAATTGACTGCCAATTAAATGCTAATGATAGGTAAATCGTAACAGTATTATATTACAGAGCCCTATTGGGCCTTGGGAGGGAATCCTGTATATTGCATCATGACAAAACCAAAATCCCCCGAGAGTTTCCTCCCCCCTTCCCCACTCCCGTGATTATTAATGGCCGTTACTTCAATTAGACGTCCGTTTCCTAGAGTCCAAGCTTACGAACTTGTGATAAAAGTTAAAGAACCAAACAAGGAAAACAGGGAAAAAGGACCTTGTTTACTAGAGAAAAATCCGGAAATATCGTATCTACATCCTTAACCCCAATTAAAAGTCAAGCGAGAGTTAATCCATTTAATCCGGCTTCATCTTACAAAATAAAGTCGAGAAGATTTGCCTAATTTCTTGGGGGCGTTTTTTTTTTTTTTTTCTTAATAAAACAATTATTCCACTCGCGCTTGTTGGATATGAGATGATTACAGCCAACTTGGCGCTACGCGCCTCGTTGGCTATCTATCATCTCATATCCAACGCGCTCTCGTGGAATAATTGTTAAATAAGTGAATTAAACGATTGAAGCATAAACGTGCGAGGATGGCGAGGTGGCGCGCTCAAGGTTGTTAAAGATGGATCAATAATCCATAATCTTCAAGAGTTCAGGTCATGCGTGACCCCTTGAAGTCAAACATATCCGTGGGAACTGAAACGTGGTCAAATAATTAACAATTATTTACCGGCACTGAGGTGAACAATTGTTTCAGTAGACATCACTCAGAAACCCAAAAAGTAGTCCATTCTGTTAATATACCAAGCTTAAACTCTTCACGCGCCATATTTTCTCTTTGGCTGCTCGGTAGTAAATGGTATTTGCTAATTACTTCCAAACATAGCCACTTTGTAGTCCATGCACGCGAAAAGCGCTAAATATACTAAATTCGGGTGACCTAAAACTTTCAAATAAGAGAAGATAACGAAATATGATCCAGTGGGTAATTGGCTGTGGACAAGCTTCTACTGCATAGAAAGAAGCGAGCTTCTTCTTCTTCTTTTTGTTGTTCTTTTTTTTCATTGCAGAAACTGGAGTACAGCTCTGGCTTTGTGATACACGTCAATCAATTTGAATTAGCGTGAGAAGAACTTTAAAAAGTACTTTATGCTACAAATTGAAACTGCTGCATTTTTGTTACCGGTATGATTCATTTCATCTTTCTACCTGTTGAAACTCCCCATTGAAACGCTAAAGCTGCACATGCTAACAGAATCTTCATTATAACTTCCACCTGTAACTTCACCTGAAAGAAAATTGTGAAGTCCGATCCAAGCACCTCAATTTATTTAAATTTTCCTTCAATTGCTTTGTGACCCTTCAGCCAGTAAACTGACATGTATGCCAATTTATGCAAGAAACGTTTTCTCAGCTGAAACCTGGCTAAATTTTAATCTGTTCAATTTTTTTTTTTTTTTTGTCGTCAGGTCGGAACGTTTCAAAAAGAAATTATAAACTAGCAGCTGAACAGTCTGCACGAGCGGTATAATTGCCCGTAGATCGCCTTAGAAACCAGCTATAAAAGAAAGGTACAGTGAACTCGGTTTCAATAAACATTTTTTTATTATAATTAACTGTTATGTTAAACGTGCGCGTTTTTAAGTTTATTGTTGCGCGCGCGCTCCGTTTAAACTCATATATCGCAACTTTAAATTTAAATTTACAAGACATGTTTCGACATTCTCATGTCTTGTAAATTTAAATTTAAAGTTGTCGTTTCTTTATTGAGAGTTTTTTTTATGCTGTCTTTACGTCCGTTTGGTCATATATCGCAATAACAATCGCGATGTTTGTCGCGTTAAACATTTAATTTTAGACGCTTAATCTAGTTGATCAGTTGTTCAGCTAAGTTTCAACCAAGCTAACCAGTTACTGAAATATTGCTGACCAGTTATTTGTCACAAGTACGAAAGCAATCAAGAAGTTAGTTTTCAGGTTAATACAGTAAATTTTCTGTTTGTTTAGAACACTTGTAAGGCCGATTGCCAACGTGTTCTCTTTGTATTTTAGATAGATTTGTGTGTTATTAAATCAAATACGGTTCTTTCTCCGTATTGGCTCTTTGATCGTCTTTCCGACGGAGCAAACTCAGTAAGTATCTCTCCCCCAATTTCCTCAACGACAATCGGAAGAGCACAAACTGTACAATATGTAACTGCGGCTTTCTTTGAATTCTAGCAAGAAATTAACGCTCACGTAATTAGCGAGTAAATACATGATTCATCACGGACGATCCCACAGGGAAGAGGGTAAGAGGGGATGGAGCACTTCTCGGAATTCTTGGTTAAGATGTGGTTGTCTAAATCTTGACACTATTTCAGAACTCTCTCTAACATGCAAACTCATTTTCAGACTTAAACTTGGAAAGTTTTTTTCATTTTGTACCATGATCAAGCTTCGAAAAACTACCCAAAGAGAGAATTGCTTAAAAATTCAGACGGAATGTCGGCTCAAATAATATATTTAGGCTACTCCACTCTCTCTAACATTCATTTGTAGCTTAAAAGACAAATATATTTATACCCTCTAGGGATTCCCTTGTAAAACATACCGAATTGAAGACCGAAATTATCAAATCTATACCCGTGCAGGTAAGTATCCCCCTCCGGGCTCTTCTTGCCTGGGTGAATGATACCCTTAGGGTACCTCCTTATTTGCAGCCACATGTCTATTCAAAGCGGGCCAGGCACCCGGATTGTTCCCACCGTATAAAAAGTAGACGAAAGTCCGAGAGGAACCACATGGGTCCAACATCTCCACTTAACCATAAACACCTTTGCTTCGAATTTCCTTTTTTGACTTTTTTTCTGTACGTGTGGGCAAAAATTAAACCCAGCATTTGATGCAATTTTTAATTCTGTACCAACTTGATTGTCGATATTTGAAACGATGAAAGAAAGAAATAATTACTAAAAAAAAAATTGTTAAAAATCGTTCGTACAATTTATTATTCAACTGTTTATTTAAAGCGAATTTCTTTTTAAAAGGCGAGAAAAACTATGCAGATAGAGACGCGTGGCAAGTGTAGCTGACCGGTTAAACAGGTTTTTTACAGTTCAAAATAGCCAACTGTCCAAATATCGCACGTGGTGCGCCGTTAGGTAATAAATACATCTTACAGGGCGTTTGGGTGTGAAGTATCGCTGAGTATTTTTACGAGTTGTGGCGTATTTTGATGGGCCTGGGAGTGAGTCAAAATACAAACAACGAGTAAAAATACTCAGAGATACAACATACTAAAACGTCGAATAAGTTATTTATCATCCAACTGCTTTATTTAATATGCATTTCTTATAAGGCGGGAAAAGCGAAGCACGCCCAGCCGACTTGTTGAACAGGTTTTTTTTTAAACGGCACAAAATAACCAACTCTCCAAATATCTCGTGATATTTTTACTCGATTCGCGCTTTATTATCTGTACTCTTCTTTGTGCGTTTGGACAATAATGCGATTTAACGGTTGTCTAGGAAGCGGAAATCTTTATTAATAATAATAATAATAATAATAATAATAATCGACTTTATTTAAAGAGGGTATACACATAACAGCTTGCGCTGATAAACCAGTGGCCCTCAAAACTAAAGTTGATAAGTAATGCATTCTAGGCCATGGAGATTAAAAATAGAACTAACAAGTCGAACAGTGTAACTATTCAAAGATTATAAATACAATAAAACTAGATTATAATACAGCCTCAAAAGAATCAATGTCTCCATAAGAATTTAGAAAATAATTCATCAAATCATTCCTAAAAGAGGAGATGCTACGTTGTTTCCTAAGCTCATTTGGAAGACTTATTACCTTGGGCACCCTTTTCAATTTAAAGAACAATGTTTACCTGAGTAAATTTGTAAAAAACTTGACAGACCTGACAGTTAACAATTAGAATTTTAATTCATTTCGGATGATTTCTGCGATGTGGTGTGAGCCTGCTGTGATTCCAAGCTCTTAGTCAGTGCACGTAAGCACGAGCGGAAAAACGAGCTGGCACAAGCCTGGCAAGCAAAAGCTTTGCTGCTGTTTCTCTGAAAACCGCGACCGCCACATGCCCGCTTGCTTGCTTTTATTTATGCGCACTGGCGTTCTCGCTCGAAATATACGCTCGAAATGCGATACGCTCGATATGCACACTGACGTTCTCGCTCGAAATATACTGGGCACGAAATATAGTTTAGAAATCAGGTTAACTAACGATACTATTAAGAAGGTTATTTGAAAACTGCGATGTTATAAAAACAGCTCATTTAGTGACGAAGTTCTTTCGATGATTTGAAAGTTACTTTCTCTTAGAAGGTTTATTTGCTTGTTTTATTATTATCATTATTATTGTTTGCAGTTTATGTGATTATAGCTTATTTGAGTGCAATCCTCCGTAATATTGATTTTAGAAAATCTGATCGACCTACTCAATGGAGGATCGAGAAAAAGTGAAATTACATTCAAACTGAACAACACTTGACGCGTATTGCAACTAAAAAATGTCTTCAATTTTCATGAAAAAGCTGATTGCTAAGTCTATATAGTAAATCATTTTTTAACAATCGTAATGCACTGAGGAAAAATATCTAGACGTAATTTCGCTTCAGATTGAAGCTTTTAGCTGTTAAGCTGATGCAATAAGAACTTATTTGAATGGAAAAAAAGGAGTTAGAAATTAGGAAAAAACCAGGTAAGATGGTATGCTTACTAAATTAAGAACTAATAAAAATGTTTAAAATCGTAAATGTTCAATTTATCCTAATTTGTGAAAGTGTCGTACACGGTGATGACTGACGTTTCCACAACCTGTGCGGAAGTCGTCGTCAGAGTCAAGTGAATAGTTTGTCAGTCGAATGTACTTAGTCCGGTTCAGTTTTGCCGTAATGTTATCGGCTGTAAGACTCAAGTGGTGTAAGTCGGTTCGTTTGTAATGTTAATGTCGTGAATGAGTCGTTTGTATGGTGCCGGTAGAAGTTGACATTTGTTAAGGAGAATCTGTTTTAAGTTAGTAAACCAGCTTTCCAGAGTCAGTCGTTGAGAGTAGTTAGAGCTGTAGGTTATTACCGTAATTTACTGAACATTAGTCCATAGCTTCTTCTATTAGGCGAACATGTATGTGCCATGTTTATTCATTCTTCAGCAGTCTTATAGCTGTGGCGGCTGTCTTGGCTGCCATATCTCGCCAAGGGTTTTTGGGCCCTCCTGAGCAGGCTGCTGTGTTCAGTGCTCGTGTTGCGGCTGACTCCACCAAGTGGAGTCAGAGATGATTCGGGTGTGTGCACCGGAGTTGCTTCTCTGCTATCCGTGGTGGACATCCGTGGTAATTCGTCTTCAGGGTCACTGTGGCATAGGCGTTTCCAAACAATAGTAGCACCTATTACTAGCAGAACTGCAGCTGGAACGCATGACAGAATGTTGAGCAATTTCTTGAGGACTTCCATCTCCGGTTGGTTTGTAGAACCGCTGTAATCAAGGGGGGACCTGACCATGGTAATGAACGCAAGAGTTGTCAACAGCACAACAACGGATTTGTTCATCCATTCGTAATTTTCTTCGTCTTCCTCCACGTCGGCGGCTTCCTTGTAGGGCTTGAGGAATGCAAAGAATAGAACAATCAAAACGCAGACACCTTCCAACAAAAGCCTTTTGGCAGGACCCGGAGATATCATCGTGTGAATAAATAGGATAATAAGACGGCAGATAAAGTAGAATGCCGCACACCAACGATATTTATCTTTGAAACAGCTCTGAAAAGCATTGAAAAAAGGATTCCAGCGGTTGAGATTCAAGACAGGACGAAGACGTCTGGTCAGGCAACTGCGAAATAAAAGAATCGTCGGGATTGGTATCACAAATAGCAATATGACCAATATGGCAACAATTCCATAACCAAGATGTTTTCCTTTCAAATAATCGATGTTACCGTTGACGTAAAGCACAGTTCTTGATCCAATGTTAGCGTAGCGGAGGATCTTGAGGGAAATGCTGGTGATATCTGTATAACAAAGTACAAAGATGGTGCAGATGCCACGGAATGGGGCTCTGACTCGTCTGCTGAAACACCACTGCGGGTAAGCGCCGACCAGTTTCGCTATTATGATCACAACCACTATGACGTACACTGGAATGGCGTACATTATCATTAGCTTGTCTGCGTCGTCGATACCAGAAGCAAAACAAAAGCTAAGGCCTGAAACCCGAATGCGAATGTTGCTGAGATAAATCATAAATTCGCTAACAACGTTGAATTTGAAGTCACCTGGCACCAAGAGATTCATGACTTGGTAAGAGTAGAGCCAGGCATTGAAATATCCCGTGAAAACATCCAGATCGATGAGCATAATAACTACAACGACAAGCAGGAAGCCAACGCCATACGGGATAATGAGAAACAACCACCAGTTCGAGCAGGTGCTTGAACACTCTTCACCTCCAATAACAACACTGTGTTTTTCCAGGCACTTCCCACAGAGTGCACTGCTTGGATCTCGTCCGTCCGTACACACGCGGTTCTTTACGTACTTATAGTCACTTGCTTTCGAATTCCATTCTAACGTATTATCACAATAACCTTCAGGACAGTTATAAGTTGAAAAGCTATTCATATTGTTTTTATCATAGACCGTGCCAGCCCAGAACCCTCGCTTAATAAAAACGGTCTTTCTTTTCTCGCATCTCGAAATACCACTGCCACCCTTGGTTGTTGATTTCATACAGTGACATTGAGGCGTTGTCTTATTAAACACCAATCCGTCGTAGCAGTTTCGTAACATGACTTTGTTTATCACATAACGCAGAAGTTGATTTCCGATACAGCTTAGATGCAATGAGAAAATGCTTCCTTCGTATCCCTTCAAAAACAAGCGTGTGATTTTTCCTGCATCATTTGTTAGAAAGGAACAAGAAGGCTGGTTATAAATACTAACTGTTCCATGGGAAAGATTGCGGGTAGTAACAAGAATAATTCCTTGGACAGCGTTGTAAAGCTCGTCTCCCAGTTTGACATCTGCATCGAACCATTCACCTGGGGCGACATTCCAGTTGGTTTCATTAAACAGTAATTCTACAGGATCCGTTGAAACCGCAAATGATACATTGGTATCAAATTTTACAAACTTCCATTTCAACACGCTGTTATTTGCGCGATTTTCGCCCACTCTATAACAGGTTTTTAGCGTTGTGGCGTAGACAGATTTCCCTTTGCATTGGCCAGCATAAAGACCACTGCATTTGTTGTCTTTGAAGGTGATATTTACGTTCCATCTCTGATAGTCCACTTTCGATTCATAACCAAAGAAACAAGTGAAAACGTTGGTACCAGTTTGGTTGAAGCTTACTAACGGAGGTCCCGGGATTTGGATATATAGTGCACCCCCTTTATCATCGCAAGTGTTTCCTTCAAAGTTTACATTGGCCTTAGGATAGAAAATGATTCTTGACCGTCCATACATGGCTATGGCTCCCCCTCTGTAGCCAGTGTTATTGATAAAATCTACCTGATCATGAACGTCAAGGAAAGATCCATCCAACATTACTGCAGACTTTTGATTGCTCGAAAACTTTGTATAATCTCTAAAGATGAGTGGCACTTGCGAACTATAGAGAGATCCTTGTCCGGTCGTGACGTCCTGTTTATGGACACGAACTTCATTGGATTCAAACAACGTACCGTTATCAAATTGCACATGAAATGGAGTCTCCGGTCCAAGTTGATCTTCATTGTAATTGTAAAGGTAGATTGCCATGGCGGCTCCCACACTTCCGTTGTTGTATTGCCATTTGCAATTGCTGTAGTGAAACTGAGTAGTCGGACTCCTTCCGGCCTCGTTGTTCCCTCCAAGAATAGTGGTCCCGAAAATCGATGCACCGCCTCCCCAAAAGGCACTGTTTTTTGTCAACGAGCAGTTAACAAAATAGAAACGATTTGGAGTTAATGGTACACCTGATTTACGGGCTAAGTTTCCGATGCGGATACCTCCGCCAGCGGAGGCTGCGAAATTATCACTAAAAATAGTGCTTTCGATCAACACTGTATTGTTTTCTGAGAAATTTCTGAATTCGACTTGAAGTCCACCTCCCCATGAAGCCTTATTATTCCTGAATTTACATCCTTGGATTTTCACGCTACACTTACTGGCATTTGACTCGAAAAACACAGCTAATCCTCCTCCTGAAGTAAATGGACGGGCTGGTGTATACAGTTCTTGCATTTCATTCCCGTCCCACTGTGCAGTGTTTCCGAGAAAGTGACAATTTGAGAACAGATAGTTGTTGTTGTGTTGATACGAATCGTGCTCTACTGAGGAGACGTTCAACGTATTATTGATGTACGGGTTTAACATCAAGAAAATTCCGCCCCCTGAATGAACAAACTTACTTTTTTTGTCATAAGCGTCATCATCTAGGCCAGAGTTGTTGGCGAACACACTGTTAGTGAAGTTGACGATTCCTCCAACGTCGTACAAATTTGCGCCTAGTCCTGGAGAATGTGAGATTTCCACATCAAAGACTCGAAGATTCCTACAATATCGAAAATACAAAGCAGTCTTGAAAAAGGCTCCTCGAAGTTCAGGAAAATATTTGTGTGCAGTATATGTACTCATATACCATCCACCACATTTCTGTAGCGTGACTCGCTCCATGCTGATATTATTGCATAAAACGAACGATAGACTGACATTTGCATCCCCACACGTTATTTTCACGTTACCAGTTCCAATAATATCAAACGTAGTCATATTCATAAAACTGTGGGGCTTATTCAATACATAACTTCCTCCATCCAATATCAACTGTGCAGAGTCGGACTTTAAAGCGACGATGAAGCCATGATCCAGAGTTTTGCATGGTTCGCTTCTAGAGCAGTTTGACGAATCGTTCCCACTCGATGAAATATGGATTTCCCTTGCTTCTGTGCCTGATTCCCAGAGTAAGAATAGAACAACATAGCTTGCAATAACCTGGCAAAGCTTCATCTTTGTGAACTTCGAAACAAACTAATCTATGCACCAAATCAAACTTTTCAGTATTCTCAGAAAGCGACAGAAATGTCGGTTTCCCAGAATACAACCTTGTGTTACAAGTCGCCCTTTCTCTTCTTGTCATCTGACCCTAATTTCCTGTTTGCAAGGCGCAACATTGAATATTTATGCATATCTCTGTAGAAGTGATTTTCGGTCGATAACAGTGGCACAGTGGCTTCACCGCAATACCTGAGCACTTAGTCCCATTGAACGATAATTTAACACTTTTAGTTGGCATGAAATAACAGAAAATCTGTTTATGTTAAAAGTAAACTGCATTCTTGCTTTTACAGTTACCAGTTAATTAAGTTACGTCCTGTCTTATCAAGCATCATTTCCTCTGCCGGTTTTAAAAAAATCCTTCTCTATCCAAGAGTCTTCCACAATATTCTGGAAAGCGAGGGTTGTTATCACAATTTTATTAACGTCAGAGGCGAATTTGAGTGACTCTACCGTCAATAATCAGTGCATAAACGACACAATCTCACTGCTGTTAAGGAAACAAATCCCTTAAAAACACGTTATTCTATTTTTCAACAATTTTCCTTAGTCAAAGCTGACGTCACAATGTTGTTATATCGAGTCGCAGGCGAGTGTGACATATCTAGGGTGATTTCTACATCATGTGCGTGCGTGAGTTAATTTTCCGTTGACTGATTTTAGTGGAGTCAAGATCTAACCTTTGTACCGCCTATCTTGCATGCGTAAACTAAAATACTACCAAACAATCTTGTATCAATATTACTTTTATTGCAGCATTAAATTTTTATCCCCAGGCGAAACTTAAGTCAATCAATTTTAAATCATATTCGAAAATGACTTCTATGACGTCTTCATCTTCATCGAATCTTCAACCTGCAAACAGTCGTTCGACTATTAATTGATGTTATAAGAAGACGAAACGTTAGAATGAAAGGACGGGCATGAACATAAAATCATATTCCCAGGTTAGAAGAGGGTTTTTGTTTACTTCGTGACGATCCCATTATGAACTTTACGAACGTGACACACTTAAGGCCTGACTAAACTAGGAGACTTTGTTGCGGAAACATTGTTGCAAAGGCAAATGTTTCCCAGTTTAGCCGCGCGGGAAACATATGTTCCGGAAACAAAATTTTGCTGCTCAGAAACAAAAATTGTTTTTGCCTGCAGACAAAAACATTTTTGTTTCCCGGATACAAATTTTGCGTCCGAAACCTATGTTTCCCAGTTTTAGCCACAATGAAAACAATGTTGATTAGTTTCCAGTGCCGCTTGCACATTGAAAAATGTTTCATAGCAACGGTGAACCGACAACAATTAAAATGGCTGACTGCGAAGAAATTCAAGCAGGTCACGCTCAAAGAAAGGGAAAGGGAAGGGAATGGAATTGGAAAGATGAAGAAATTCAAATGGTAATTACGCTCTATGAGGAAAGGCCTTGTCTCTGGGACGTCGGTAATAAGGACTACATAAACAGGGACAGTAAAGGGGTGGCGTAAGTTCGCAAATCGATCTACTGATGACAGAAAAATATAATATCAGCCGGGAGGATAACAAGTAGAAAATTATCAGGTCATAATTCATGAGGGAACAGGCCCTGGAAAGAAAAAAGAAGTCCGGTCAACAAACAAGCGATATGTACCACTCATCTTGGAAGTGGTGCAAGTTGCTGAAGTTCCCTATTATTGTGCAGAATGCCACAAAGGGCTTTGATACAATGAAAAAGTGAACATCCTTTGATCCCCAGACTCCCTCGAGGTCAGTTTATTCATTCACGCATGCGTAGCTCATTTGTTTTCCGAAACAATGTTTCCTCGTTTAGCCACTGGGGCAGCACAACATTTTGTTGTTTCCGCTAATTTAGCCACCCCGGGAAACATAACAGGAAACAAGGTTTCAAGAAAGTTTCCTAGTTTAGCCAGGCCCATAGGGTATTTTGGTCTGCAGTGATTGGCACGCTGTCTGAGTTTTAGGTTCAAAACCTAGGTTCGATTCGAGCCCAAAATATAGTTTACACACTAAGTGCATAATTTGAACAAAATCAAAGTATATACACCTTAAAACATGATCGTAAGAGATTTATTTAGACCTACAGTTTTACTGAAAGATAAACCTCTAAGTAACACTCATTTCTGAGAGCAAGTTTTTTCTTTTCTTAGAAACTTTAGATATCAGTGGAAGATAAACCCCTCTCCATGTTGTATTCACGAAGCAAAATAATGAGAACTTCTAGTAAATATGAATTTTTTTCCACAGGGCAACTAAATTCACAGAAAAATATTTCGATACCAACGATAACATGTAATGAATTATGGGCAAATCCTGCAACTAGGGAGCCTCTAGAAGTTTAGAACAAAAATTCGCTTATTTTTTAAAACAGTCCTGACTATATTTGATACAGTTTCTTACGTTCACAGGTTGGACTGGTCCCAGACCATGTTTTGTCGCCTTGACAACGTCGTTTCCGGCAACCTTTGAGACGGTATCCCGGATGACATTTAAAGGTACAGAGAGTTTTATACTCAAGGCCAGCACTCGAACATATTCCGTTCGGGGGATCAGCGTTCTGTACAAATTCAACTGGGCATCGTATTACTGTATTTCAAATGAGAAATAGCCAATTAAAACTTACATTACGTTCGGTCATCATTCTTGAAAAGTCTAGGAAATAAAAGGGGCTCAAAAACGTATAACAAACTTAAAGACTTCGATTCTTCTTGTATGGATCATTATTTTGTCCTATGTCCCAGACGAATAAAAACTTTGAATTTGCTGAGACAATTTAAGTTAGATTGTGTGACAAGTTAGTAAGATAAGTGATTGCGTGGTGACAACTTTTCGCTTGTGGTTTCAGTGTCGGTAATGGGATCAATTAACCGGTCCATTTGTTAGCTGATATCGTTATCTAGGTGTTAGGGTGTGCCGCACGTACTGATAAGATAAAACCTGCCAAGATTTTTTGGTTGCTTTTTCTATCGAGAAGGATAGAGACGTGATCTGTGAGTTTTGTAACTATATGAAGAATAAAACCGTGAAGTTTGCGAAGAACAGCCTGGTGTTTTTTGGCATTCGCAATAAATTCCCGTAAATTAAAAAGTCCAAGACTGCCCTCTTTAATGAGAAAACACGATAAAGGGATGTAAGAGACTGGACAACTCGGCCATAGAGTGAGTTTTTGTAGGTTGATTTACCATTGGCTGGTTTCCTTGGGGTGCAAGTGAAGCGCCTGTACTAAACTTATGTTCGGTCCAACCTGGATCCTAATGTAAGACATAACATCAAAGTGAGAGGAGAGGTCGCCCAGTACTTCAAAACTTTTATGCGGACAACAAGGCACAGCGACGAGTTTTGAGGAGCTTGCCGAACTAAAAAAGTTTTGCTGACTTCACGTTACAGTACTTATGTGGAACGGCTTTGCTTCACTTTGCTCAATAAATGATTTTAATCTCATCTTTTGTTTCGTTATCGTTGCTTCCGTAGTTTTGGTATGCGAAAGGTTCCTACTAAACGGCTATAGGAAGGGAAAGGATTTGTTGAATTTATCTTTTAAGTAAATAGTTAACATTGAACGAACGACTTCGTACCAACACAACTCAACGCGTTACCAGACCACCGCATATGATCACGAGAATCTAGGATACATTGTCGTTCCGTGCTTCCTAGGGCTTCATACCCTTCAGCGCATTTCACTTTGCAAATCGATAAACAATTTCTGGAACATGGCAAACTCACGAAATGACCGTTAGGTGGTAAGCATCGAAGCGCATCTGACCAAATGAGACTCTCCAGGGGATCGATAGGAAGGTTGTTACGTTTGCCCTATTGTCAAACAACACCGTCTGGGTGGAGTCGTGCGTGTAATTCGACCGGATGCGCTTCGATATTTGAATCCCTTAGTAAGGGCAAAAGGATTACGCGTACTTACAAAGCGATTTAGCCAGAATGGGTGGTAAAACAGAGCGGCTCTTGGATCGATGCAGCGGAATTTGGAAACTTTTGCCGCTCAAACGGGTGGGTATCAGCAAAGCGCTCTCGCGGGTGGAAATTTAAGGGAGATCGGTCGACTTTGTGGAATTTATCGGCCTTCGAGTGGCGACGGTTGATGTTCGGGACCGGTTGAAGTACAGGCAGCCCAAGCTCTCTTTGAGAACCACACAAGGAACACAATTTGCATATCGATTTATAAGGATTTGTATGGGATTTTCTACAAGATAGCCATAGAGATAGTTAAAATTGAAAATATTGAATAAAAACGNAACACGCATTTACCCGGCGTTGACAAAGTTCCAAGTCATGCATGCTTCGGCTTTGGGAACGGTATGAAGGCTTTCCGACCGTTTTTAAGCATTTCTTTAGGCGGATTAAGCGAATCTGGCAATCTTTCTGGATATCTTGAGTCATTTTTACATGTACCCAACAGCAATGCCTAGTTGCAACCATTTTAGAAAGTTAGAGCATTTTTTGAGCGAAAATAGTCTTACTTCTGACACGTTTCGCATACAAGTCCTTGTAAAGACTCTGAGTGTTTGTCCTAAACCAGCGGGGGGTCCAAAGATGACATATCTATTTCCACCCATAGCCAGAGTTTCTGAAATACCCTTAGTAGTTTTCTGGTAAAATTTGCGCACAAGCAAGCAAGATAAACGCATGGGGCTGGAGACAGCAACGGAAGGCAATGTCATTTTCCCGAATGAAGAGTTTGGCATGGGGATAACTTCCCTCTATCGGATTAAAATCCGAGCTGTAAGGTGGAAGGTATCTGACCAAAGCCGAATTAATTTCTATTTGGATTTTTGTTTTTTGCTTTTTGCTTTTTTTCTGACAACCTTATTGTAATTAGGTGTATGTACAGATGACTGGTAGTGCCACACGTGCTACAAAGAAAGTCGCCAAAAGAGCGTGAAAAGGACCATTTGCGACAAAGCAGCTAGGGAAAAAAGGAAGGGAGTCTTTATACGTTATATTCTTCGCTTTTATTATCCTTTTTAAATTTTTTCTTAGGTTTTTTTTTTTTCATAATGTTCCTTAACGGCCCACGGTTACGCTTAAAATTCGATCTTAGTATGTTAGGTATTCCCGTTAACGACCTTCAGACCCCAAAATCCCACACAGTACGCTCGGGCCGCTTGTGGTGTAATGTTTGGGCAGTGAGAGATACCTTTCATAAGTTTTTCAGATAATTATTTTTTAATTTCGGTGATATTTCTCCAATTTTTTGATAACTTGCAGCAACAAACCTAAACTCATTGAATGATGTCAATTTATATTTTTAATGAATAAAGGCTGATAGTTTCGAAAGAAACTGTTTGGGGCTGCATCGGTGGGAGTAACGAAATAATTTGGATATATCAACAAAGTTGAAGTGGTAAATTGGCCACCGTAACGATTGCAAAAGCTGACGTTTCGAGCGTTAGCCCTTTGTCGGAGCCCTAGTTCTGGAAAACCTTTCGTACCCATTAAAATTTCTTGTATCATAGCGCTTGATGATTCGATTGATTAGAACCTTTTCCAGATAAATCTAGCGCACTGCTACATACTCTGAATAACCTCTGTTTGAGCCATAAAGAAAGAGAATAATAAAAAAAAATCACGCTGTTTGCAGCAGTGCTCGTCCTTTCCACCGACTGCTTGCCTCTGTCTCGTTCTCTTTCATTTTTGATTCACGAAAGCTAGAACAACTAGCAGTACGGGAATGATGATGTGAAAAAAATATATTGAGAAAATTGAACCACGCCTGAACACTTAATTCGAATCTTGTTCGAATCAATTCTGCTGCCTGCAGGTCTAGTTGCAATTCATCTCATTTAATATTTTTTAAACAAAACGAAATTATTGCCCTTATGGAAAAAAGTTTTTTTAATCATAATTTAATATTTACGCCGCATGGCGACCCACTGTAAACTGTAGGACATCCATTAGAGAGCAAAACATGGACAACGAGGGGGATATAAACCACTAAACGGGCAAAAACACTGTTACCCGTTTTAACAGCAGCTTGAACTAAAAGTGTGCTCTATAGACCACTTTCATAAATGGCTGCTGGATTAAAATTCTCTTGTTTACATCTAAATTTGCCTGGGTGGCCTCGTTCTCCAGCACAAAATTCAAAAGAATACATTATCTCAAGCGAGGCCACTCGGGCAAATTTAAATTTAAACAAAAGAATATTAATCCGGCAGCCATTTATGAAAGTGGTCTATAGCGACTGTGATTTAATCGTAGTCGATGTTACAGCAACTATTCGTTGTCTTTGTCATCGAGCTTCTTTCGTCAATATGTGTTAAGCTGTGTTTAATCCATGAACGCTTTTATCAGAGAAAATTAACCTAAAATATAAAACTGCAGCTGAACTGAATCAACGTACAGTTAACAATCTCAGGATACAATAAATAGCAATGAAAACAAGAGCGAAACAAAATTACTTGACTTAGAGACCAGTTATTGTTTATCTGGATAGAGGGGTGTGTGTGAAGGATTTGGTTTTCAGGGGGAATAGAGAAAGTGTGATCAGCTGTCACTAGAAAATAATCGTAATTTCACACGTGTGCAGTTACGGCTTTTCTCAAAGTTGGAAATCCCTAACTATTATTGAAGACAGGTAGACTGGTCCCTAAACTAAAGTATTATCACGGAGTGTTTAAATGTCATCTAACCTTGACATGTCATCGGTGTCCCAGACCACATCATGATGTTAGAAACTGGATCCGCGATACATTCACGTCGCGAGCTTCCTACGACTTCGTATCCCTTGTTACACTCCATTTGGCAGACCGATGAAAGATGTGAACTACACACCCCTCCCACGATAAAACCGTCAGCAGGAGCAGACAGAGGCTCACATTGGCGAACTGGAATTGAGAAAAACAGAGCGAAACAAAATACGTGACTTGGGGGATCACAGGGTTTCAGGGGGAATAGAGAGAGAGATGATCAGTTGTCGCCAACAGAGCATAAATTGTGACTGGTCCATTAAGTAAAGTATTATGACTGAGTGTATAAATGTCCTCTAACCTTGACATGTCATCGGTGTCCCAGACCACATCATGATGTTAGAAACTGGATCCGCGATACATTCACGTCGCGAGCTTCCTACGACTTCGTATCCCTTGTTACACTCCATTTGGCATACCGATGAAAGATGTGAACTACACACCCCTCCCACGATAAAACCGTCAGCAGGAGCAAACAGAGGCTCACATTGGCGAACTGGAATTGAGAAAAACAGAGCGAAACAAAATACGTGACTTTGGGGATCACAGGGTTTCAGGGGGAATAGAGAGAGAGATGATCAGTTGTCGCCAACAGAGCATAAACTGTGACTGGTCCCTAAAGTAAAGTATTATCACTAAGTGTATAAATGTCCTCTAACCTTGACATGTCATCGGTGTCCCAGACCACATCATGATGTCAGAAACTGGAACCGCGATACATTCACGTCGCCAGCTTCCTACGACTTCGTATCCCTTGTTACACTCCATTCGGCAAACTGATAAAAGATGTGAACTACACACCCCTCCCACGATATAACCGTTAGCAGGAGCAGACAGAGGGTCACATTGGCGAACTGGAATTGAGAAAAACAGAGCGAAACAAAATACGTGACTTGGGGGATCACAGGGTTTCAGGTGGAATAGAGAGAGAGAGACGGAGATGATCAGTTGTCGCCAGCAGAGCATAAAGGGTGATTATAGACAATTGTTGCTGCCCTACAAGCCAGAAGGTATGATGGGTACGATAGATGATGGATAGGTAGACAATTTCTGACCAATTTACTGCCAATGAAGGGAGGACAAAAACAATATTACAGGACCATAGCGGAGGAAGAACAGGTAAATTTCATCGTGACACAACTGGAATCCTTCAACCTGGTCCTCAATATATTTTTTCTATCTGTTTTGTCATTGTGTCCTCCAAAGTCTTCGTTATGTGAAATAAAAAAACACTCAACGTCTGATCCCAAGTAACCAGTTAACCTTAGCTTGTTTCACCGAATCGCGATGTTTCCCTCGGATCCGCCTCGAGAAACATTGAGATTTTCGGAAAGCAAGATAAACTGTTTCCTTCGGGACCGGTGTCACACGGTATCTTCTAGCCTCGACATAGAAGCGGCGACCCAGACCACACCATCACATTAGAGGCTGCATCCACAACACACTGTCGTTCAGTGCTGCCAGAGGGTGCAAATCCAAAGCGACATGCCATTTTGCAAACCGACAAATATTGTGAAGAACATGCGCCTCCCGAAATCATAGCATTTTGTGGAGTGATCAAAGGTTCACATCTGCGGGCTAGAATTGGAAAAGATAGATTTAACAAAAATATCCCTTGCAAATACCTTTTCTATACTTAAGCAAGTTGTAATCCTGTCTGGGCATTCGCGCCATAAGAAAAGGGAAAAAGGCGCAGTAAGTTCTTAGCATTCTTCTTGAATTATATATACAAATTGTTAATTGCGTTTTTGAGTCGTATAAATCATGCGTCAACGCGCGAATCATTTTTCTACACGTAGCTCCACAAAATTGCTACCTTTTTTCGGTACAAATTGATTCAATTTGGTATCGGAGATCAGTCAAATATACTTGTTCTTTCTTTTAGCGAAGACCTTAATCACTTTTGGGCAGATCGAAAAACAGCTCACGTGGAAATAAAGATCTCACACCCACTTACGAGTACATGGCGATCCTGCATATCCTACAGGGCATGCATGAGAAATCCAAAAATTTGCAATAAGCAAGAAACAGCGTATCAAACCACCAATGCACAACATTTTCTGATCAAATTACTGTCGCGGGTATCTTCTACGGCGACTAGTATTCAACTAGTATTCGATCGTGTGCGTAGGTTGTAATTAAGTTGCCACGTTAGCCTATAGTTTGTTCAGGTGTGTTGAGACAGACGACTTACCATCAAGATATATTCAAGTCTCTAATTAAACCAAAATTGAACTGAACGGAATTAAGCGCTAAAAGTTACTTTTTTGGGAACGATATTATGTTTTAATGCGAGATTACATGGGGGCATCGGTTGTTCACCTATTTGTTGATAAACATGGTCATGTACCTTTGCCTTTTCGAGTGCGCTTAGGTTTATTGCAGAAGCAAACTATTTAGAATTACCCCTGGATCGCACAAGAATAAGGTTATACTAGTTATACTGGACACGTTGCAAGACAGGCCTGAAACGCGGTAAGAATTTGAGAAATGACTGAGATTGGAATTCATCTTTAAACATTGACTGTTGACTACACTTAAGATCTCTGAATAATGTAAACCGTTAGTTTAGGTGTTTTGATTTAACATAATTCGGCTACAACTGCGCAACCAGTTTGAAATAGTTGCTTGCAAATTGAGAGTTGGCAGGACCACAAAGTTAGGTGAATGCTGAGAAAAGTCGTATCTAAATAAATTCAAATGTGGACTGAGAATAGTCCAATCCAGAATTGGTCACTAAAATGAATTCAATGTTACTGATAGATTCCTTTAAACTAAAATCAGAGTCGAGGTAGGATCATTCATAAATACTTTCTCGTTGAGAGACTGGGCCCTCATTTGGGTGGAATCTGGGGACTGGGGTGAGTGAAATTTGAAAGTAAGGGAAAGCACACTTTCGTAAATACATTTTCAGATAATTTAAAAAACGTATTTATCCTGTGCGAGCGTACTTTAAGAAACAAAAACATAAACGTTAGTGCTAACTGTGACTCACGGACAATGGTTACAAACCTATCTGAAATCTTGGTGTGATTTACATCAGTGGGCACGACTCTAAACACATTCAAATCCGATAGCCCTGTTAATAACTCTCTTGAGGTTTTACGTCAACATTTGGCACTTTTTGTTTTTGTTCATAAGAACGCTTTTTTTTTTAAGGCGGAGGTTACAGGTTTTTTTTTTCTTGCGATCTGAGCCTGAAAACGATGTTAATTAACATGTTTTTAAATTTGTTTGGTAGACAGTATTTTAGAGGATTTAACAGTACAGACTAAGTTGGAATTTTTCTTCGGAGTATCGAATAAAGACGTTCTTAGCTGACTCAGCCTTTGTATGTTCTTAATATGTTTTTTGGATTTAAGTTGGTCTCTGCCTGAACGTTCTTATAAAAGATGTTCTTATAAAAAAAAAAAAAAAGAGTGCATTGATTCTGGTTAGAGAATTTAAATTTCTGCTTTTTCCACCAAAATCGAAATACACTCTTTGTAACCTCAGTAGTGACATAATTGAAGCATAACTCCTTTAGCGAATTGAGATTCTTTCTTCCATACATGAATGTATCAAGGCACCAATGTCAAAGATTCTAACTTCAAATGGTTGTCAAAAGAAGTAATGAAATGATTGCTATTTCAAATGCAAATTGCGGTGATAAATTTCCTGCCGACAAATATGATTTATCTTGTACATGAAGTAAAGTATCTTCGCCTTAATGAGTGTCATCTTGGTGATTTGAAACAATGAATGTCTGAAGAAGCTATTGTATGTGTGATAATGCTGTTGAATGTTTTTTGAAATGCAAATGCCGCTTCTTTCGTGTAATTGTAGCTTGTTTTCGTCTTATTGAAAGTACATTTCCCTCAAGGAAACAGTGACACAAATAGACGGATAGTTTCTGTTAATGAAAAGAAAAAGGTTTACCATGCGCTGTGTTTAAACTTCTTTTCTTCCGTTTTTTTTTTTTTTGTCTGTTTTTTTCCAAAAGCATTTATTCTTTCTACGAAATTTCTCTGATAATTCATGTTTTTAAAATGCGCAACAGGAATCATGATGTCGCGTCAGAAGTGGGTTATCTCTGCATTTGAACCACAGAAAAAAGATGACAGTCTTGTCGATCATATTACCATCCGTAATCAGCAATTTTCTCCTACAGATCCACATAGGATTTAACGTAACCTGAGAATAACTGATTATGATATGATATTCCAATAAAAATGATAAGAATGCACTTCGCTACAGGCACTATTTTGTTTTTTCCCTTTGCGTGATTTATCGCATCTGACGGTCTTGTGGTGAGCACTTGAGAGTTATTATACCGCGATTGAAATGTTTGATAACTTACAATGTCTACCAACTTTGTAAATGCGTCGAATTTAAGCTCCCAAAATCACAACTCCTCAGCAGATGAATTTGAGAAGGAAATTCAACGAAGTCAGATCGGTTCAGTGATCGCGTACTATGTTATGATAGTGCTCTCACTGGTGGGTAATACAGTGGTAATCAAGGCCATCAAAAGAATCGGAAGAAACTTACGACGGCAAGTGCATTATCTTTTTATTCTAAACCTTTCTGTGGCCGATCTTCTGTTCGCTTTAGAAATGGCACCCATGATCTATGTTCATATGCTCTCAGGAGGAACTTGGCATATTCGCGGTCGCTTCGGAGAGTTTCTCTGCCAATTTGACGTATTTTTGTCTGCAGTTTTAATTCTAACATCAAATCTGACGATTTTAGCCATCGCTGTGGAGATGTTTTTGGGGATATTTTTCCCTTTGAAGACGCTCATTTCGAAGAAAAGGGCGTATTTTATTATTGCCGCCACGTGGTTTGTAAGCGGCTGTTATGGCGCTCCGCTGTTTTCTTTTGCGCATCTCAAAGCACATGGCATCGGTGACGCAGTTTGCTTCGTCGGCATAACGAGCGAAGAGGTCGTGCAATGGTTTATATTTCAAACATTGCTGTTGGCGGCGGGATTTGTAATCACCTTAGCGTTGTATTCAACAATCGGTGTAAAACTATGGCTCCTCAAAGCACCTGGATTCCAATTTCACGAGGTACAGAGAAAGGGACGGGCGAAAAAAGCTAAAGCTGTCAAAATGTTAGCGATGTTGGTATTTGTTTTCTATATTTCATTCATACCATTTTGGATTCTACAGCTGTCTCTTCACTTCGGCTTCTACGACAAACTCACACCGCACTACAGAACCATCTCAGCATTCTTGATGCTTTGTAACGGAACTGTGAACCCGGTCATTTACAGCGCGTACAACAAGGATATTCGGGATGAATTCAAATCCTTGATCACTTGTAAGCCACCGCCGGAACGCACGCGTAGTCTAATGGCTGTTTCCGCCAGAGCGATAAAGAGGAAAAAATATGAGGATTTAGAACATAGATCACCAGATCAACAGTTACCTACGAATGGTCTTGCTGTGAAAATTAGCAGCCATTCGACAGGAATGCGGCCAGTTGCTGGTAAAATAAACTTGGCTTGTAATTTTGAAGATACACCATTGTAATGTAAAATTCATTACCTCAACGAAAGTGAAATTAAAAGAATGACGTGACATTACTGAAGTCACGCGAACATTGAGACTTATGTCATGCGATCTTAATAGTCGCACGAATACAAACAAACCTTCATGTGAAATATTTTACTCAAAGATTGTTAACACTTTTTTGGACTAAAGGTAACTCATCCACTTAAACTCGGCGTTTTTCGTTTTATCTGTGTCCCTGATTTTTCTCTTGCCAAAACGTCTCAGGCTGCATGCGCGCATTCGAAATGCTCGCATAATTATAACATTCTTATTTCTTTCTTCGTTTGATTGCTTTTGCATGTCTATGTGTGCTTTCTTTGCTTTTTGTTTTGTTTTGTTTTGTTTTTGCGTTTATTTTCATCATTCTGTTGTTGTTGTTTTTTTTTTCTCTGACAAATGAGACGTTAGGAATCGTGAGTCAAGTGTTTGCCAAAACAGAATCGATATACATATATACGATTGGGAAAGGAATGTTGTTTTGTCGCGATGAAAAGTCCTCGTCATGTATTGCTTTCAGATGTAAAGAATGCCTGGATGTGTGGTGAAAACAATGTAGGAATCTGCACGTTCCTCTGATCGTTTTTTATATAGGATTGCTTGGTTTTGTGCCGGTGACCAAGTTTGCTCTTACGGCTTGCGGAAATTTTCATTTTTGCTCATAAAGAAATGACAAACATGTCATAATTCTATCTAACCCCGGTCTGCCCACCGTCTCGTTGTGTCAATGAAATTCCATTTATGAACATATTAAAAACTTTCACGGTTAAAACACCTGCACCTTAAAAGCTTCGAGGGCCTCAAATAATTTTTGGTTAACGAAAGTTTTGTGAAAGTGCTGGAATGGCAACACCGTCTTTTGTGTTACCTGTCCGATCTCAAACACCAACCTTTTTCGAGGTCTCGTTGGCCGCTTTGATTTTCATATGCGCTGTTTTAGGAAACATCATCATCATCATCATCATCATCGTCATCATCGTCTGCTTTGCGATATACAACAAGAGGAACCTCCATATCATTCCTAATGCGATTTTCGTGAACCTTGCCGCATCGAACTTGATGCACTGTGGCAGCTACCAATGTTGATCGTTTCCATCATCAGAGGAGAATGGAGGTTTGCAGAGAAGCTCTTTGATATTAATGCTTCCCTCAACGTTGCTTTGTTTGCCATCAGCCTTTTCAAACTACGATCAGCGTGAATCGGTATCTTAAGATAGTCAAACCTAACAGGTATAAAAATCTGTTTTTCAAGAAGTCTGTTTTCTTTATGATCGTGTTGATATGGTGTTTGGCGATTTTGTTGTGCAGCGGACCCTTTTAGGATGGGGACAGTATCAGTTTACTCTGTACAAGGCACTCCGCTCGATCACGGAAAAAACTCACACCTCTTTCCGTATCACCAGTTCTGTGGTAGTTTTTTTGTTACATTCTTGTCATCATTGGCTGCTACATCAAAATCACGTAAGTTGATCGTCGCCACAGAAAAAGAGTCGCTATACAAAACAACAAGTCCCAAGGCGAGGACCCAAAACATTTGTCATGTCCAGAGCCCACCAGAGCCACAAGTGAACCTCACGTAACTGAACTCAGAGGAGAGGATGTCCATATCACTCGTACCGTTTCAGTGATAGTGTTCCTTTTCTGCTTGAGCTGGGTCCCAAATGTCACCCTTGACATTCTCGTATTATGTGGCGTTCACGTGTCTCGTGAAGTGCTCATATGGAACGCCAGGACTGTCTTATGTCAATTTTCTTTATTATAAGTTATGCTTTTGTCGTTATATGCAGTACAATTATCGTTACATGCAGTACGATTGTCGTTATATGCAGTACCATTGTCGTTATATGCAGTACGATTGTCGTTATATGCAGTACGATTGTCGTTATATGCAGTACGATTGTCGTTATATGCAGTACGATTGTCGTTATATGCAGTACGATTGTCGTTATATGCAGTACGATTGTCGTTATATGCAGTACGATTGTCGTTATATGCAGTACGATTGTCGTTATATGCAGTACGATTGTCGTTATATGCAGTACGATTGTCGTTATATGCAGTACGATTGTCGTTATATGCAGT